TTCCGCGACTGTCCGAGAGGGGCGGAGGTATTGACCTCAAATTAGCTGTGTGCAAGGCAAAAGCCCTACCCACTGTGCTAGGGATATATTACTACCTAAGTATCAGATTATTCATACAACTTTTTCAAGATTTTAAGGCAAAATGGAATTTACTGTGAAATGTACATTTTTATAGAAAAGTGCTTCATAAGGGTCAAAGAGAGTACAACAGTTAAGGTGCTTGCCTTGATGTGGTCAACACAATTATATTTTCCTTCCAGGATTGATCTATAAGCGGGGAATAAGTCCTGAGCACTGCCAGGTGTGGCCTCAAACTAACAAATGAAAAAACGAACAAACTAAAATACTAACAAACCAACAAAAGTAGCTTCACTCCACCCCCATCCCAGACCACCCCTCTGAGACCCTCTCACCTCCTCCACGTGCACCCCTAGGGCTTCCCGACTGGGTCCCTGATGGAGACTCCAGCGTGTCAGCTCAGACTCTCTGTCCTGATCTCACAAGGTCCAGTTCATCGCGCTCACATATGGGTCCTGTTGCCTTTAGTGATTGGCCCCAATTTTTCTCATTCCTGCCCATGGTCACCCCTAGTTCTCACTCATTTCCTTGATACCTGTGCAAGACCCTCTTGGTAAGTGCAGAAAGGGGAAGCAGATCGTAGAGTAGGAGTTTCTCAGACAGTTGCTCATTGGGGCAGGAACCATCCTCCAAAGTCAAATTCTTGTAGCAGGAAAGACAATGGGGCAGGCAGGGAAGCTTCCTCACTGGTGTCCAAATGGAAGCTGGCCATGGACTAAGAGTGGTTTTGTCCCCAAGGTGGCCCTGAGCCCCCTGTGATGCTCCTGAAAATTCACCTGGTGGACACTGTCCCCAAACTCAGCTCTAGAGCGACCCATGTCCTCTTGATCCTACCCAATAGCTGCTGAGTTCCAGCGTTCCATGTCACCCTGAACCTAGAACTGACTAGCTCCCCACTGGCTCACAGAGGTCCCTGTGTGGGGACCTGCCCTTCATGACGCTGATGGGCCAGAGGGACGAGGACATACTGGCCTATCACATTCACACAAACGTGTAAGATATAAACCCACACAGATTAAAGACTATTATTTTCATATCTAGTTATATAGAAATCAATAGCCTAACCTCCTTCTTACTTCCAGAGAGACATCCAATTAATGTTCGGTAAATGTGCACGAACAAAGTCTTTCATCCCCAACAGCAAAGGCAACTCTCTTGGCACTCTTGGCACAGGTACCAATCTTACTGCAAAGACAAGCTCATGGGACAATGTTTACATTTGGTTCATTGTGCTTTTCCTTCATTTCTGTGATGCAGTGAAAACATTGCAGATCCCAAGAAAGCCTACCCTCCAGAGAGAGGGACTTTGTTCATGTACTGGAAGAAACATTTATCAGGGCAGTTTACAACTCCCATATTGTGATTTTTCTATTTGGTCTCTTGTAGTTATATTGTATATACAGGGACCTCAGGAATGAGGTCCAGGGCAGTGGGTGCTCAAAGGCTCACACATACAGCATAGCCAAGACAGAGCCACCCACACGGCAATAGACTCTTAATCATATTAGAAAAATTTATTAGGAAAGGCTGTAGTTAAATAAAGGTGAGGGATAAATCCTCCATGCACCAGATGGGTGGCATGAGCGTGGGGTAGATCCTGTGATTAACAGATGGCAGCTTGCTTGTGCTGATGTTGCTTATTGACTCCTAAAAACACATGGTTATCTGGGAAATAGTCTACAACAGGGTTGTATAGTGTATACTATCAGAAATGACTGAGGTAAAACATGGATTCATAGCCTTAAATAATACTAAAATCAAATGTAAACTATGGAATTGCACTAGCTGCATTTCGAGTCTCTCCACTATAATCATTTGTAGAGTCAGTCACACATTGGAAAAGCATGATCACAACCTCATGATCAAAATCACTCAGGAACAGTGATGTAGAAGACCGAGTTTGAGACTCTGCGGTTGAATGCTGACACACCAAGAATGCACTATGGGTCATCATTGGATGATTTGTCTCCATAGGTGTCTCATGGAGTTATAGGGACAATCCTCACAAGGGCTTGGTCTAGAGCTCATGGCTCCGAGGCCTCCTCAGTGGTGCAGCCACTGTGGTTCTCGAGCTGGTCTGGTTTATCCTGGAAGGAGGAATGAGGCTTCATTAGCCTTCTAGATAGGAGCCAGGGGCCCTCTGCTTTCTGCCATTCCACCCCCATGTGTGCCATGATCCTTACAGGCAGCTCCTCATCTCTGGGACCCTCCATCCTTTTCAAAAACAACATCTGTGACATATAATGGGATTCACAGTCCCTAATAGTTTCCTATTTTGACTGACATCTTTTTGAAAGGCTAGTCACATACCATTAAGCCTCATCCAGTAGACAGTTTATTAGTAATATGAACCACTTTATTTTTTTCCCACTAACTCTTGTGTGAAATTGTGCCCTGATCACAATTCTCAACGTCTGGATAGTTGTCTGGGCAAAACATGTTAGATCGGACACTATATAATCAGGCACACAAAAATGCACCCAAAGGCAGCACTCAGAAAACGCTAGAATAAAACAGTTAAGGAACGTTAAGGGGTAGAGAGAAACTCAGGAAAAAAATAAAAAGAAAGTGCCCAGACTTTGTATTGTAGGTGCCTGTTGATTGTCTCTGTGAAACACACCAGCCTGTGCTCCTCATGCACACTCAGAATGTGGATGTGCTCACCAACTGTCCTAATTTCCCTGCCAACTTAAACACTGACTCGCCTATCGGGACCCCTTTTGGAGGGAGTGACATTACATTGAATAAACGGCTTCCTGTGAGCTCACTGGGCCTGCCCCACCACCCTAAAACTTGGACAGTCTTTGTATGTGTGTTTGTCTCATTTGTGTCTGTTTGTCTCATTCCCTGTGACTGACCCCTAATGCATAGAGGTTCCAAACCAGTTGGCTTCGGCAAGGTCCATTTCCACGTAGTCTGGCTTGGTGATGGGCTTTACAGTCTATTCCAAAAACTTGGAGAAAGTCTCTGGATTCCCCAGGAAGACAGAGATCACCAGCACCTGAAACCTATTAAGTTGCTGTAGCACACAGAGGACAGTAGATGGCAGACTAACCCCATAAGTCACAGGACAGTCTATGGATCTTAGAAACACTGAAGAGTCATAGCCTGTTGTCAGCAGGGACAGGGGCTCTGTGGTGTGGTGGGAAAATATGAAGTCTTTATAGTCTGAGCTGGAGCGAGAATTTTACCCTTTCCTGGTGTGGGGTAGAAGTCTTTTTGTTTTCAATGATGGAAAATGTACACCAAAGAATGGCTTTTGGAACATTGTATGACTGAAGCCCAGTCATGAACAACTTTGTAACTGTGTATCTCACTGTGATTAAATACATAACTAAACAAATATATAAAATAATAAGTTAAAGAAGTCTTGTCATGCCCTTGTAGTATGAACTGTTTTTATCCCATATTTAGTATTCATAGTTGGAGATAGTTCTGTCGAATCACTTAAGCTCACATGAGGGGGATTAGATGGGAATATAGGGGCATCAGGGAACCCCCTCTGTCCCATCGGACACCCACCCAGGAGAGACCTGCTGGACAAGAGGAGACAGGGACTCCTGTTGTCAGGAGGAGGGTCTCACTGGAAGTGACCTGAGGAAACTTGAAGCTCCAACTTTACTCTCCAACCTCCCGAAGTGTGAGAATCCTGTGTGTGGGGTGTTAGCCCCAAGCCTGCGTGTTCCTTTAGGAGAGTCTGAGCTGAGACTTTACACCCCTACGTCCTCTGAGCGGGGTCTCTCATTGTGGAAGTGTGTGTAAGGGGGGCGAGAAGTGTGTGTGGAGCTTGGGGGGCTTCGTTAGTCTCTTTATCCTCATCTGAATAGTGAGGTAAACAGCCTGAGATTCCTCCTTGTCTTTTTGGCTAAAACTCCTACCTAACCTTGGAGATGATGTTATTGGCTCTTTTTCTTCTCTGATTAGAAAATGCATCAGACTGAGTGAACTAATTTCCAGGTTTTAATGGAGGGATAATTCTGTTTGCTTGTCCACTAAGATGTCAGTGCAGATACTGTGTGGGCCCCTTCCAACCTCCCTCACTGGTTCCCAAGAGTGGGTCCCTGTCTCTTTCAGGGCCACATAGAATGTGAGGAGCATCTCATCCTGAGAGGGCCCCAGCCAGTGAGGAGAGAAAGTACAGGGCTTGCGGTTAATGCCTCAATTCACCCAGGGGATCCATGGCACCACCGTTTACCCGAGTGTCTATGGGGCATTCCTGGAAACCTCTGAGTACTACCTGACTGACCTTGGTAAGCACAGGCATGGGGGTGTGCCCAGATGGTCTCCAGCACAATAAGGCCTGAAAAGCTGTAAATCAAGTTTTACACGGAACTGGTTTGCTCAGCTGGCCTAAATTGCCTAGAGGAAAAAAACACACTTGCAGCATTGATGAGCTGCTACTGCATCACACCCTGACACATAAATCAAAAAATCGGAGAAAAATCATAAATTTATCCTGGCTATAATTTGCCAGGATACAGGTATTCCAGATCAAAAAGAAAATCTCTTTGTCTTAAGTATATCCACAGCTGTGAAACATAGGAGTCTGTACAATTCCTTGAGAGGGTCAGTGTGTCTGACAGTGTGTGGTCTGACAGAGCCAGTCTTTGGGGCAGAAAGATAAGAAACCCTGTCCTAACTCTCAGGACACCAGGGACCCGCCCTTCTGTGCTCACACTGGGGCCCTCCTGGGGCCCAGGTAGAAGCATGTTCTCTGTTGTCAAAGTTCTGTTTCTCCACAAGAACCCACACCCCTGACTTCCCTGCAGCTGGGAAGTCACTCACCCTCCCCTCTCTGCCTGCCAGCCTGCCCTGCCTACCCAGCCCCCTCTCCTTTGCAAGTCCTCAGAGCTCATGCCTAGACTCTCAATAATAGTCTGTGTCACCCTGCAGTGTCAGTGTCTGTCACACTCAGAGTGGACATGAGGGTACCTGTGCAGCTCCTCAGCTTCCTACTGCTCTGGCTCCTGGGTAAGGAGAGAATGTGGGTTTACATGAATATGGCTGCCTCTCTCTCTCTCTGGAAATTATCTAATTTAAGATTAATGATAATGATATCCACTTATATTTTTTATCTCAGGTTCCAGGTGTGATATCCAGATGAGCCAGCCTCCATCTGTGCCTGCATTTCTGGGAGAGAAAGTCACCATCACCTGCAAGGCCAGTAAGAACATTAGCAATTGGTTAAACTGGTATCAGCAGAAACCAGGGAAAGCTCCCAGGCTCTTCATCTATGGTGCAATCAGTTTAGGACCAGATGTCCCTACCCGGTTCAGTGGCAGTAGATCTGGGACAGATTTCACTCTGACCATCAGCAGCCTGAGGCCTGAGGATGCTGCCACTTATTACTATCTACAGTATAATGTTCACCCTCTCACAGTGATACACGCCAGAATATAAACCCTTAGAGATCAGCTGTGTGAAGCTGGGCTGCCACAGCTGCTCCTCCTGCTGCCTCCATGGTTGAGACTGTCAGATGTAGCCAGGCTGTGATATGAGAGAATGCTCCTGTACAAATAGAACGAACATTTTTACCTTCATTATTCCCCGCTTTTATACCAGCAGTACTGGCATGACAATAGATCTGCTGATTTTACTTATTGAAATTATTTTTCGTCAAGAATATTTGCGATAGATCAGAGTTCATGCAAGAGCAATCACTTTAGACGGTCCAGAAATCATTGTTTTAATAGATATTTTAAAATCATAATGAAAAGTTTCCCACATTGAAGAGCGATGGCTTCTTACTGGGAGCATTCTCACCTGACCAATAAGAATCTTCTGATGAGGACTGAGGGAGAAACTGCATCTTGCCGGGGGTCAGCACCTGAAGGACTTTGGGAGGGACAGAGATGTGCTTCTTTGATTGGGGACATTTGAGACTAAACTGCCACTGAAAGAAAAGCCAACTTTAATGACAGGAACAATGTTTCATACCCTTTAATGTGAAATGTTGTTTGTACCCCATTTCATACAATAAAGGTCTGGAGGAAATGAAGGCAAGTAAGAGATCATATGAAAGAATAAAATTTCAATATTGTGTACTAAACCCAAAGTCTTGCTTTCTTGTCCTGAAGGGAAAATATCCAAAGTCACAATGACTGAGTTTCCCTTGAGACCCAGGCTCTAAAAATTCTCAGTGAATGTAAATGGGAGAAGAAATCATTGTTCTCTAAGGAAATTCATGTTACTGATATAATTTTCTACTCTAATAGGACAAAAGTTTATAATTTCTGACAATTAATTCTTAATTCAATTACCTCATTGGAAAGATTCGATGCAAGGTGATATCCAAGAATAAAATTGTTACATCCTTTTAAAAGACTGGAGTCCCTAACTTCATGCCATGTTTTGTTTTTCCATCCCTATGAACCCACACCTACCATGGAGAGCCTTGTCAAACTGGTCCCTGCTGTGGGGAGGAAGCCCCTGGGCCATGGAGTTGCTGTTCCCTGAATATGGGCTCTGAGACCCCCCAGACCCTGGGCTCTGACTCCAGCTGAGAACGGGAATGTGGGGGCTTAAGGGCAGATGCCTGTGACCCGGGCACTGAGATGACACCTTGGCTCAGCTCCTGCAGTGTCATAGCCCTGCCTGCTCTAGCACATCAATGGCATCATCAAGATCTTGGGGACACAACACAAAAATATTAGTTTAGTTCAGGGACACCCTGGACTTCCATCTCCGTGTCTAGGTTCTAGTGCAGCCTGTGGGCCCAATGTCCAGCTTCCCTCAGGGGCTCAACAGAGTCTCCATACGTGTCCAGCAGCAGCAGAAACCCGGGCAGTTTCCAGATATCTGCCACATGTGGCATCCATACTGACATGTGTATCACACACAGTTGACTGAGGGAACGGGAATAACTATTGGACCCTGTTTTACTGCGAATTTGGCTAGACTTTACTGCATAAAACCTCACCATTAATGTGGTCCATTATTGTGGATAGAGTTAAATTGGACTAAACTAATATTTTTAAATTACATTTAAAAAACAGCTATTATTTTCACATGATACATTTCAAGTATCTAATGTCCATATGTAGGCACAGCTATTCACAGAGCACAGTTTTATTATGCTAAATATAATCTAGAGTCAGGAATGCAGATGACCGTGACCACGTTTCACATATCTGACGCCCCAGTTCATTAGGACATCTAAAAATTAAAATATTGCTGTTGGGCACTAATACTTGGTTTTGTTTCTAAATTTTGTTTTCTAACGGCAATTATGGACACAGGCACCAGTCTATGGACAAAGTTAGTGTGTCCATTGGATTGTGGCCAAGAGTTCTTGCTAGTGTAGACTCTATGGGTCTTTGATCTGGTCTGGATTGTTCTTAGAGGAGACACGAAGCCAGGTTGAGAAATCTACATCAGGAGTTAGGAGCCCTTATCTCCCTGATATTTTTCCCATACTCACTTGTCATTTCCTCCTCCTTCTGGAAAATCTTTCCTAAATTAGATCCATGCTATGTGAGGATGAAAGAAACTAGTCCTTAACTCCTGGTGACACACATCCAGTCTGTATGTCTGTCCCCTGTTAGTCATTACTTCCCAACTACTTAATCAGTTTATTTAGAAGAGTCATTTTTGTTCTTACTAACTGAACTGATAATATGTTTTGTAATATCTATTACAAGCACTTATAAAAAGTCTTGAACAGAATCCCTGGCACAAGCCATCTGAAATCATTTCAGCTGTTGTGTCAGAAAATAGCCACTAGACAGAACCCAGAACTGACAAGGCATAGAGCCTGATCTTAGAAGTGCTTGGACAATAACTGAGTTAGTATCCCATGGTCAACAGGGGTAGTGGGTCCCGTGGGTGTGAGGATAAATGTATGAAAGCAGCTCTCAGTGGCTGATTTTACACAAATGATAAGGTTCTTATCAGTGGGGCCACGAGTCCAGTATAAGTTGTCTGCCTGAGGACATTGGATTTTACTACTGCATGCAGTTTATAAAGTTTACATCCACAATGATGGATAAACAGCCCTGAAATGAACCACCCTACATGGACTTGCGCAGATGGCCACACTTGTTCTTTGCTGGTGAGCAGACAGCAGAGTCTCTGAGTCAGTGAGAGGAAGGCATTAGGGGTGTCAGGGCAGGAGGTTGCAACTGTGGGTCTGGACCATGAGAGTCCCTGATGAACTGCAGGTACCCCACATTAGGGCCAGGTCAGAGGCAAAGGTCTGGCCTGGGAGAGCAGCAGGTATGCAGGGGGGTCTGTGCCCTGAATGACCAGTTGTATTTAACTGACAGTTGATGGGAAACCCTACTTCATCCTCCCTGTCCTGTCCACATATTTTAAGAGAAATGTTATTACCTATGTTATTAGTTGAGTGATACAATTTTTCAAGAAGACTTTAAAGCCGAGTGGCATTTAAAATTTTATTGAAAAGTGCTTTATAAGGGGTCAAAGTGATAGTACAGCAGGTTAGGAGCTTGTCTCGCATGTGGTCAACCCGTGTTGCAGCCCCGGGATCCCATACCATTCCTAGAAGTGTTTCCTTTAAGCCAGGAAGAAACCCTGATCATTCCTTGGTGTGACTCCAATACAATGAAACAAAGTTCACAGCTCACACATCCCATGACTTCCTTCCCTATCGCTCTCACCTCCTCCACCTGCACCCCCAGGTCTTCTCCTCTAAGTCCCTGATGGGGACTCCAGTGTGTCAGATCTCACTCCCTGTCCTGACTTCACAGGCCCCAGTTCATCCTGCTCACACAGGGGTCCTGGTGCCTTCAGAGTGGGACCCTGTTTTTTTTCATTCCTGCCTTGGCTTTGACCATTTCCATGAATTCCTGTACAGAATATTCTAGGTCATTGGGGTCCTGGGAAGCTGAATGTAGAGTAGGATCCCACCCCAATATGCGCCATTATACTTACTGGATTCTCCTCAACTCGGGGATCCTCCTGCCTTTTCAAAAATATCCTTCATGATATCTCATGGGATCATAGTACTTAGGACTTATCTATTTGTGATGAACATTTCCTCTGTACGCTTGTCACCTGTTAATTATTTCTCATTTCTCTGACATTTTCTCATTGGAGCAGACACAGTCCTCTGAGACCTGAACCCTTGTAGCAGGAAGGACAATGGGGCAGTCAGTGACCTTTCCTCTTTGGATTTCCCATGAGAAACTGGCAATGGGATGAGGGTGATTTTATTCTGGGACCAGCCTGACCTGAGCTCCCTGTGCTGCTCCTATCAGACAAGTCTCATGATAGACTCTGTCCCCAGGATTGGATCTAGAGAGTACTCATGTCCTCTAGGTTCTGCCCAGCATCTGTTGCTTCCCAAGGTTCCAAAACTCAAATGTCACTCTGAGCCCAGAGCTGTGTTGACCTCCCTTTGGAATCACATAGGCTCCTATGTGGGGACTTATCCTTCATGATGTTGGTCTCTGTGGTGGATAGGCCAGACGGCTGGGCACATTGCTGGTTTTACACATTTGTGAAAACATAAAAAAGATAAATCCTTACACTATAGCAACCATCAGTTATAGAAATCAGAGGAGATCATAAGACCACCCTCTGTCTTTCTTCACTAAGAAACATTCAATGATTGTTCGACAAACATCAAGGATTAGCCATTTAATTTTACAGCTAAGCCCTGTTGGAAAAGGCAACACAATTAAGTTCAGTGAGTATTGGGAGAGTTAAGTTTTCATTTGTTTCATTGTGATTTTTCTTCATCTCTGCAATTCAGTGCAATTTGCAGATCTCAAGCAAGCCTACAGTTTCTTTTTTTCCCATGTCCCCAGTAGAGTGGGGCTCTATATCTGTACCGAAAATAACTCACTCTAGGACAGGTCACAATTGCGCACCAAGTGATTTATCCACATCAGAGTCTGACACTTCCCAGAGGTGACAAGAACATGGGCAGAGTCTATGATTAGCGATGGGAGTCTCGGTGTGTGGGTGTTGGTTATTGTTCTTAAAAGCACATGGTTAGACTGGAAATAGTTTATAACAGTGTTGAATAGTGTATAGGATAAGACATGGCTGCATCAAAGACATCTCAAAATAGTCTTATATTTTACTAAAATCAAATGTAAAACATCGACTGAGCTGCACTAGTTGCATTTCATATCTCTCCACTATATCTATTACAGAGAGTCAGATATTGGAAAAACACAAGCTATTCTTAAGATCAAAATCATTCTACATCCAGGCATGTAACTGACACAGAAAAATGTTTCCAATGTTCGGGGCCCTGGGTTTGAATCCTAACACACCAAGAAAGCATTATGGTCAGCAGTGGATGGATAGGTACTTTGGGTCTCTCATAAACTCATGGAAACAATCCTTACGAGTCTTGGTCTAGATCGAATGACCTGAGCCCTTCTAAATGGTGCATCCCATGGTGCATCAGAGCTGGGTTGGGTTATCCT